TTTATGTGTGTGTATGTGCCTATAATGAATGAAAGTAATGTGTGATCATATGTTTCACCCATTACCACCCTTTCATACAGATGCTGTTGGATCAGCTGACACTTCAGACTTGAACCTGCATATATTTCATATATTGCTAACATCCAAACGTGTGGGGCCCCTTTGGCCTCGGTTTATTTCCTTAAACCATTATGTTACATTGTGCGGGGAAAGAAAACCCACAGTGCGACATTATTTCGTCGAATAGCATGAATGTAACATGTGCACATATTGTTAGAGAGCGTGGAAAAGTCGCACCTTTAATATTTCCAATACAAAGCTATTTAAATAGGTAGAAATAAAACCCACGCAGCCCATCTTTCCCCAACTGTTACAGGAGAAACACATAAATAAATTGAAATAAATCTCCATATAATAGTTGCATAGGTTAGTGAAAGGGAGCAGCCAGATATGCACCTGATTCCCACACATGGAAAGGCGTTAAATGTGATGCTTTCTTCTTTTTTAACGTGGCCTCGGGTTGTTGGCTATTTCTCCTCAATATAACGCTATTGCCACTTCTTGCGTTTCTATTCAATTTCACTTCTTCTTCCTCGGCCAAACAAGTTCGAGCTCGTCTTGTTGTTGTTTTTTTGTTTTGTTTTTTCCCTCCATTATCATTTTTATTTATCACGATTGTTTGAACCCAGCACACACAGCGCGCGTGTCAGCCTCAGCGCTTCTTTTCTTCCTCCTCCTCCTCCTCTTCCTCCTCTTCTTCTTCTCGAGTCTGCCCATTTGTTGTGAGCCGTGTATGAATCTCTCTCTCTCTCTCTCTCTCTCTCTCTCTCTCTCTCTCAGGAGGAGTGTCAATCGGTGCGGTGTCAATCAGAGCCTCGGCTTCCCTTTCATCTCTCCTTCCTCCCAATGACTGAAGAGAGAGAAAGAGGAGGAGGAGGAGGGAGCATAGCTACATTACCAACACACACATACACACACTGGTTACATTACACTGTGGAAGCAGTGCGGGAGCAGTGGGAAGTCGATCCGCGACGTTTTTCCTCTCTATCTTCTTTTTTCCTGATTGTTTTATGACTTTTTGCTTTCGTCCCTCCTCACCCGACCGGCTTTGAGGATGTATTTTGCGGCGGCTCAGCGCGTCGCTTGTTGTCCTCTCTAAAGTGTTAAAAGTGTTTTTCTTCCAAGTCGCACATCCATCATTTACCTTCTCACCTCCAACACGGTGTTTTGGTTTTGTTATCCT